ACTTTCTCTGTCTATTGCTTGAGTTTTCATTCTCTTAGAGTCTATACTGAAGAGCAAAATGTATAAATTGGTAAAGCCTAACATCATTTTTTTTTCTTTTCTGTTGAGGCTTTTTTAGTCTTATCTAAGAAATCTTTGTCTATCTCAGGGTCATAAAATTTTCTTCCAGAAGTTCTATGTTTTTATCTTTTACGTTTAGGTTTATGATTCACTTCAGATTATCACTTACAAATATTATAAAGAAAAGTTCAAGGTTGATTTCACACACACACATGTACACACACATACATAATCTCCAATCGCTTTATCACTGTTTATTGAAATTATTTTTCACACATTGAATTACATTTTTGTCTTTGTCAAAAATCAAATGGCTAGGGCCAGCCCCGTGGCTTAGCGGTTAAGTGCACGCGCTCTGCTGCTGGTGGCCCGGGTTCAGACCTGGGGCGCGCACCGACGCACCGCTTCTCCAGCCACGCTGAGGCCACGTCCCACATATAGCAACTAGAAGGATGTGCAGCTATGACATACAACTATCTACTGGGGCTTTGGAGGAAAAAATAAATAAATAAAAATTTAAAAAGAAATCAAATAGCTATATATGTTTTCAATTGGCTATATATATGTCAGAGTAAATTTCTGGATTCTCCTCTGATCTTTTGTTGTCTATGTTTATCCTTATGCTAACACCACACTGTCCTTAGCTTTAGAGTTAGTCTTGCAATCAGACAGCATAAATCCTGCAGCCTAGTGCTTTTTTGAAGATTATTTTGGATACAGATTTTAAGGACAGCTTGGCAAATTTACAAGAAAAATATCCTGTGGGAACTCTAATCTAGTTTGCGTTTTATCTATCAATTAATTTGGGGAAAAGAGATACCATAATAATATTGACTTCAATTCAACAGCATTTAATATTTCAACTCATAGACATGGTATATCTTTCCACCTATTTAGAATTTCTGCTATTTCTCTCAGTTATGTTTTGTAATTTTCAACATAGAGGTTTTTTGTATCTTTAATTATATTTTTTCCTAACAAGAAACAATTTTCTTCTTCCTGTGTTTTATCAGAAGATGAAATAGCTGAGACTTTAATTAGCATTCAAAAGTCTGTGCTGGTCCTAATATCTTCTCAATTTAGCCCACTATAGTCAGGGATTTAACTTTCTTAAATGCCATTTGCTCATTAAGTGTAAGGCACTGCTAATTGTTAAGACTCAATGATGACCAAAAAAAAGTTCCAGTCCCTTATCTCTTGGTGTCTAAGCTGTTTATTACTCACTTGAATTTCAGTCTTCTAGAGAGGATGAGAAAGAGTGGAATCATTTTGCTCATCCCAGGAGGCAAGTCAATCTGTGACTTGCTCATACTGCTTTCTGTGTCTTGGAGGGCAAACTACACACACACACACGCAAACACACATCAGTGTATCCTAGGTGTTATACTTGGTGTCAGGTGAACCATGATTTTGGACTATATTTCTTGGGTCCTGAAAAATATGGTTTTCTTAGTTGAATTACAAAATGTTTGTTATAATTTTATATTGCTATTGCTTGGAAAAACCCTGAGCCGTCTGTGTCTCTGGTATGTTTACTATCTTTGATAATGAGAATTTTCGAGCCAACAATGTTTCTTTTTACACCTGGCTGCCAGAAGTCTTGGAACAAATTTACAGCTTAGCCCAGACCAAAGGATAGAATCCATTATCAGTGCCTCCTTCTGCAGTGGCTGCCCCTAATCTACCTTCACATCCCATTTATAAGACATAGCTGTTTTCCATAGACCTGGTATGTTTTATTTATGTTTAAATTTTTAATACTTTTAGTGTCAAAATTGTTTTAAGTCCTTTTCAGAAGAAAGTAAAGTATAAATATCTTTATATTCTATAAACCTCAGGGAAATTCACCATAAAAATTAAAAAGAAGATAGCTGGATAGTCTTACCTAGAGGAAAGGGGGTGGGGAAGGATTAAAGTAAATTGTGTCGCTGAGTTTCCAGAAATATTGAATCACAAACCTAATGTATTAAAAATGAATTACAACTTTGCAGATTTAGCCACTTGCTGAGATTTTGTAAAATAATTCATTGAAATGTTAGATACAATTTAACCATCTAAGATTATGTCCTTTCTGTTTGCTTCATCCACCATGGCTATATACTCATGTGTCTTAGAAGGAAAAAGAGACAGTTTTTGCATTAAATACAGCACTGATGTCATCCTTCATAATCTAGCTCAGTGTAAGGTGGGTTCTTGAGAAAAACAGCAAGGAACAGCTCCAGAAGCAGTAGACTGGCTGGTGGAGCCAAACCAAGCACCCGCATTGTGTGGTCTATAAAAACTCGGAGCTCTGAAGCTCCGTAATTCTTCTTTAAGTAAATTAAGAATTATAATACGGACTCTAGCTTCTAAAAATGTTTTAAAGATCAAATGAGAAAATGTGCTTATATGAAAATTAAATGTTACAGTTTTTTGTTGTTACTTTTATTAGGAAGAAGACATGCTGACATTTCAGGCCACACTGAGGGACCCCTCCTCTGTTCTCAGCGTACACACACTTTTGGTTGAGCAGCTAGAATCTCATACAGTGATTGTCACTTTACATGCTTGCTACCCCATGTATATGTTCAACCTGTGCACACAGATGATGATTGCTTCCTAGTCTGAGAACAATTAATCATTCCATAGATATTTATTCGGTGATTGAATGGGAATGAAAGCTGCTCTCAAATCATGACTAGCTCCTCTTAGGTAACCCAATCCTTTATTTCACGGGAGTTAAAATGAGAAAACAAATTTGACCTAAAACAAATAAAATTCTCTATCTTGTAAAATTCCCCATCTCTCATAGTTCTTCTAAGGGCTTAACACCTACAGAACTGTTATTGTTTTATATAGTTTTATAACTGCTGTATATGAATTAATCCAGTAGCTGATCCTTTCAAAACTAGGACCAAAGTGTGATCATATGGATCAATATCTGCAATCCCTGTGAGTGCTTTTCCTCACTCTTTCTGTAACCTTCTGTCTCCCAAGATATCTTGGCTGGATTTTACCAGGTTCAATGAGTTCTTAGAAGAGGGAAATACTTGAAATCCTGGGAACTGGTGGCAAGATAACTTTCAAAGGCGTATTTGCTATTTCTGTTGGGATGCATTCTGCCTGCCCTGATACAAGCTTCCTGGATTGCTATCTTGTGGCACACCCTGAAGTCATTCTTTAGGAGGAGTCCGCTAGTGTGGAAGGCTGCATTTGGGCCAAAACTCACAAATGAAGGGAGGGGAATGCAGGCAGGAGAACCTGAACCTGTGAAGACCCTCTCTGGACTGCAGATCACTGGTGACAGCATCTGGGGGAGAATGGCTGCCCACCAAAGAGGACCCTGAGAAGGAAAATATCATGAGAACCCAGGGCAGGGGAGGAGGGCCCGAGACACAGGGATTGCTGAGTAGCACGGAGGTCCCTTCCAGCTGACCAGGACTGTCAGGGGCACCAAGGCTGGCAGGATCAGGATCACCCCCCTAAGTTCTGAGGAGGAGCTTGCCCACAGCCACTGCCCCACTGAGGCCCACCCACTGCCCCTCCCCACAGTCCCTAACTCCTGTCCTAGACCAAGGAGCTGGGGCAGACAGAGGGGCCACTCTTCTGTTGGGGCTCAGTACCGTGGACAGAAGCTGGCTCAGGTAGGGCCTGTGCCACCAGCAGCCAGGTTGGTCACAACGGGAGTCCCTGGTGCTCAGGGGTTGAGGAATGTAGCTAGGCCTGGCAGCAGTGATGCTGGATGGAGAGGCAGGGTGGCCTGAGTCCAGGATGGGAATGTGAGACTCAGGCCTATGGTCCTGAAGTCCTCCTCACGTGGGTACAGGCGGTGGGGAGGTGAGAAGGACAGAGACAGAGCCAAGGGGGATGTGGTCACTGAAAAGGTGATGAGCAGGCGCTGCCGACTTCTCCCCAGTAGACTCAATCCCCTTGCCTCACAAGAGCATCAGAAAGATCCTCTGTTCCTCCAGCTTTAGTTTCTTTGGCTACATGTCGGAGACAGGCGGAGTCCAGAGATCTAGAGGTTCTGAGCCACGATGGGAGGCAGGCTCTTCTGCAGGTCCTCTGTGAGCCCGCTGAGCACCTTCCTGTCAGTATATAGCTACAGCTTCTAGCTAGGAATTGGTGGAGGCAGGATTTTAAAACACATCTTCCAAATCTGGGGCCATTGCTCTTTTCTTTTAACAGCACAGTTATGGCATTTGAAAGGAACAGAGAGATATGGTGGGATAGAGATGTGTGTTAGATTAAAACTCAATAACAAAAAGAGTAAATACTATTGTGTTAGTCTGCTCAGGTTGCCATAACAAAATACCACAGAATGAGTGGCTTCAACAACAGAAATTTATTTTCCCACAATTCTGGGGGCTGGAAGCCTGAGATCAAGGTGCTGGCAGACTTGGTTTCTGGTGAGCACCCTTCCTGGCTGGCAAGCAGTACCATCTCACTGCTTCCTCACACAGCCTTTCCTCTGTGTCAGGGTGGAGAGAGAGTACTCTGGTGTCTCTTCCTCTTCTTCTAAGTCAACCAGTTCTAAGGGATTAGGGCTCCACCTTTACAACCTCATTTAATTTTAATTACCACCCTAAAAGCTCTCCAAATACAATCATATGATTAGAGCTTCAACATGTGTCTTTTAAGGGAATGTAATTCAGTCTATAACCACTAGGAACATAACTGGTCAGTTTATATCACAAGTATTTTCAGGGACTTGACCTGGAACTCTGCAACTAGACGTTTTGTTCCAGTGAAGTATTTAGTGCGTATTCATCCAGAACACACCATTTTCTGCAGCTTAACCAAATGAGCATGTAATACAGTATTTTTAACCTGAATTCTAAATGAATTTCATGAGGTAATTTTTTTTTTTTTTAATCTTTGGCAATGAATGACAGATGCTTAAAGTGGACGGGGAGATTATAGATTTTACTGAAAAGATTTGCCTTTCTTTCATTTTACAGGCCCAACAGCTTACTGATCTGGAACAAAAATTAGCTGTGGCCAAAAATGAGCTGGAGAAAGCAGCTCTTGACCGGGTAAGTTAACATCCATAAACCATGACAACTTTGCTGTTAGCAGACAAAGCTAGGGTATACGCATTGCTTCCCTTGATTTACTGATGCGATTCCAGATGCTGTGCATGTGGGATGGTTACAGAATTCACGAGTGCTTGATATACCCTTTGGAACCCAGTGCCTTCCTAGTTTTTGCTGCTACAGCAAAATGACTCAAGGTTGAGGCTCTGTGAGTTCACGGCTTCATTTTTCACCTGGCTGGTACATTTGTTCTGTAACACAATGAATAAACATGCTTTAAAGCACCAACAAAGATACTATGTATTAACTTGAGATGAATGTCTTACAAAGCAAATGGAAGTAGTCATTGACACTTTTCATTCTGGAAATCTTAAATCAGAGTTCTGGAGGGAAAGGCATAAAATAAAAAGGTAGCTCTCTTCACCGACTCTGTTCATATAAAGATGATGCGAGAGTGGGTGACAGACCACCTTTATAACAGCTTTATTGAATCATAATTCATATACCATAAAAATCACACTTTTAAAGTTCACAAAGTTGTGCTACCATCACCACTCATTCCAAAGGATTTTCTTCACCTCTTTTGACCTTTTTTATTTCATTTTGGTTTTATTAATCTCTCAATATGTTACAGTTGTGTGTGCTCACAATAAACCACAACTCCCGTCTGATGCCAACATTTGCCTTTCCATTCTCTTCATATGCGACATGCATGAACAGGGAATTGTTTGGAGAAGGAAATATAATATAGATGAAGGGATCAGTCACATAATTCAGAATTACTGTTCTGCTGCTTAATAGTTATGGTATTGGGCAAAATTTCTTAATGCTTCTCACTCTCTTCTTCCTTCATTTTTAAGTCAACTTTATGAAATTGTGGGAAATAAATATTCCTTTTTTTGTTAGTTCACTCAGAACAGAAAGGTAGAGTGATTTTAAAATAGTTTACTTCTTTGTTCAATCAGCACTCATTTATTGAACATCTAAAAGAATTTTCTCTAATACCTAGACCATATATCCAGCACATATTAATACAGGAAACTCTGAATCTGAGAACTGAATCATAATATTTCAGACTTGAGGAGACAAATTCTGCATTGCTCTCAATCAAAACCGTGGAAAGTCTATGCCCAAGGAACAGGGCCAATCCAGGAGTAATCTGCATTTTACTAAACCCTCAACCTATCTTCTGACTGAATTCTTGAATAAACTGGAGTTACCAGCCATCATTCCGTCTAGCAGTTAGACCCTCTCCTGTGGAAGATATCATCTGGAGAATTTTTGATTCATTTATACACAATATCTGGCATGTAATAAAAATATTTCTAGACATGTGGAAAGAACATGCAATCTGATCGATATGAAGAAGGAAAACAAGAGAAGCAGACCTGGAGCTGGTTCAGATACGGGAGTGAGAAAACAAATACTCAAAATTTAACAACTATGATTTATATATACATATATATACACATACATATACAATAGTATATTATATTTTTAAAATAAAAAATATATAATATATATAGCAATAGAAGAAAAAATAAACAAAACAGATAAAAGGATAGAATTTTCACTAGACTTGGATTCTATAATAACAAATCTAGTAGATATTCTAGAATTATAAAAATATAATACAGTAAATCAAGAATTTAACTGATGTATTTAATATCAGATTGGATGATTGGACATTGTAGAGCTGAAGACTAGTGAGGTGAAGGGAAAATTAATATCAAATACATATACTAATGTATAGAAAGTACAAATGAAAGTAAACAGAAAGAGAATAAAAAATGTATGAGACAATTTCAAAATTTCTAAAACATTTACAATTCTTGTCCCAGAAGGAGTGCCAAGCAGAAGCAATGTTTGTAGAGATAATGGCTAAAAATTTTCCAAAGCTTTGAAAGACATAAACCACAGATTCAAAAATATAAATAATCCACAAGCAGGTAAAATACAAAGGTAACCACATTATAGTCAAATTGTTGGATATAAAAAAGATGAGCTAGGAGCTGCCCTGGTTGCACAGTGGTTAAGTTTGCGTGCTCTGCTTCAGTGGCCCGGGGTTCGTGGGTTCCAATTCCAGGCGCGGACCTATGAACCTCTCATCAGGCCATGCTGTGGCAGGTGTCCCACATATAAAATAGAGGAAGATGGGCACAGATGTTAGATCAGGGCCAATCTTCCTCATCAAAAAGAAGATTGGCAAGGGGTGTTAGCTCAGGGCTAATCTACCTCACAAAAAAAAAAAAAAAAATGAGCTAAAATAGAAAATGAATAGTAAAATGGTAAAATGGTTAATATCAACTTAAGTATGTCAGTAATTATATTTTTTAAATGGTCAGAATATTCCAAGTACAAAGCTGAAATTATAAGATTATATGGATTATATTAAACAAAACTTTATGATTCATACAAAAGACACCTTTAAATATAAAGAAAAAAGAAGTCTGTAAGTAAAAGAATAGCAGAAAAAAGATAAACCATGCAAACAGTAATACAAAGTGAGCTTGTGTATCAATAAGAATATCATTCAAAGTAGACTTGAAGTAAAGAATTCCTAGTAATAAGAAGGAGGTCTCCTATGAATCAGTCCAAGAGAAAGATATCACGGTCCTAAATCAGTATGCGTATAGCAATATTCCTTTAAAATGCATATAAATATTAAAACGTACTCTTAAGACCCATTCACTTTTTCATTATCTGCTATATTTCAATACAATTTATTAACAAAGTAAAAGACACTTAACCTCACCAGAAAAATGGAAATGTGAATAAAAACAATAAGATATCATCTCAACACCATCAGATTGGTAAAAATTAGAAAGTCTGATGATACCAAATTATGATAATACTAGTGATGGGAGTGTAATTATTAAAATCAGTTTTTAAATGTGTGTGCCTTAGACTTTGTACTTATCCATATGTTCTTGGAAACATGCATAAGGACATTAAATACAGCAAAATTTGTATTAATAATAATGGAAATAACTTAGATGCTTACAGTTAGATTTAATATACACATTTCATATATTTTTATAATAATATTTTCAAATTATAATCAAAATTTAATATTAATTAACAAATATAAATGTTTCAATATTGATACATTATAACATATAGTGTTAAGTGAAAAAAATCAGAATTATATGTATAGTATTTAACAATTATTCAAATACACAAAATACACTTTGTTTTGATTACATATCATATAAATAGATAAAGTAGAAAAATACATATCAAATTCATGGATGCAATTGCCTTTGGGGAAAGACAGAGGGAAATATAATACTATAGATGCTTACAAATACTTCTACTATTTCCCAAATGTTTTATCCTCCAATAATAGTATAGATACAGATAGATAGTCTTTAATTCATACACACACACATGCACGTATATGTATGTTGTATGCATTATATACAGCATTATATAATATACACATTGTATACATGAATTAGATATATGTAATACATGAGTATGTATATATTACAAATACGTATTTACATATATCATATATAATGTTTTATTAAATAATATAAATATTATATTACATATAACAAATATACAATCAAAATGATTTATTCATTTAATTAGATTGATATTTACCTGATATTTGTTATATTTATGTTTTTCTCTATATATCCCCATATTTTTCAAAATTTATTTTAGAAAATGAAGTGTTCAGTCTGCTGTCAAGGGCTTTCCGTTTTTGTGATCACAGTTTAGTGACCATTTTATTTAGAAAAATAAGCAAGTAAGATGATCATCATAGACTTCTTTGGCGATAATATACTGTATGCATTCAGCAAGTTTGTAATGAAAGGAGGTTGCCTCCTAACCACCAATTTGAACCATGGGTGTTTTGATACAGAATAGAGGAGATGGAACATTTAAGGCTGATTCATTTTGAAGCTTCTGGTCTCTCCCTCTTACTGTGCAGTAGTTTTGAAGGAGAACGCTAAAATTCTACCTCCCAGAGACTTGGGTCTCACACAGGCATTTTCTGCACTTATATATGATGAAAACCTCTTCATAGGTAATGTAGTTAACTTTTCAAACAGGACGTCTAGAAAGTGTTGCAGCAGAGGAATTAGTAAGGACATTTTGTGAATTCTAATGATATTCCTTCTTAAGGTTTAAATCTTTGGGGAAAATGTGGCTTTTGAAAGAATAACTAGATATTGTAACAACTTCACTCCTTTGTAATTGTCTTATTTTATATTCATTCAGGTAATTAATATAATATTTAATAGTTCTAGGGAAGCCTGCCAGCTATTTTGTAGATTAAGTCAAATATAATTCATCTTACCAAGATTCCAGCTTTATTTATTTATTTATTTTTTAAAGACTTTATTTATTTATTTTTCTCCCCAAAGCCCCAGTAGATAGTTGTATGTCATAGTTGCACATCCTTCTAGTTGCTGTATGTGGGACGCGGCCTCAGCATGGCCGGAGAAGCAGTGCGTCGGTGCATGCCCGGGATCTGAACCCGGGCCACCAGCAGCAGAGTACGCGCACTTAACCGCTAAGCCAGGGGACCAGCCCTCCAGCTTTATTTTTAATTTTTAAAAAAGGTTTATATGAATTTATGCTAATCTCTGAGCATATCCAACTCATGCTACATAATATGACTTTTTAAAAAGGGAAATTGATGGAATCAGAATATCAGAGGTACACATAACACTAAAGTTCAACTAGACCGTCTCTTTCTGAATCCTTTCTCTGACATACCTGCCACAATCTCTGCAACATGTTTTAAGTCCTAGAAAGACATTGAAATCCCACGCTCCTGAGGCAGCCCAGCGTCCTCTGAGTTTTTAACAAATCTGACTGTTGGAATGTTCTTCCTTACATTAAATCTCTTTCCTGACTTCAGATAATCCATTTATTCAGTCAATGGCTAAATAGATTTGAGATGCCTTTTGTATGACCACCACGTGCCAAGTGCTATGGGAAACAGAAAACACTTATGATACATGGTCTTGGGTTCCATGCCT